TCAACCACTCATGCTACTGCTACAATTCTTTTTGCTATGGCTTCTAGGCCTTCTCTGCTACACTTCTATGCCCTCTGTATTCTCTTCCAACACCTGGAACATGCTCAGATCTGGAAATACTGGTGTTAGCTCTGAACTTGGTCATTTTTGGCCATGTAAGCCTATTTCTATATTTCTGTAGGTACTCTGCTAATCTTTCTATATTCTAGATCAACAAACTCCCTGTTCTCTGGCTATTCTGAGCCCAGAAGGTATGTAACTTGCCCTTTTTAGTGCATATTCTCAAATTTAATATATTTAACCCAGAAAACACATCATTGGCTTTCTGCCAGTTAAATCCTATGGATTTCTATGCCACCTCTTCCTTAAACTATGGTAAGACCTTAGCTTGATCATATGTAACTCAGGACTGAGCAATCTTCTAGATCTTTTACACTGGGATCAAGGAAGTTTTGGCAACTACCTTGATTCCAGTGAGGTTGATTACAACCCTAGCCCTTGGGCACCCTCTATAGTGATTGATCTCAATCCGAGCCCTTTGGCAGCCAACCATTTGGTTGAGCCTCTTCCATTCAACATGGTTGAGAGAAAAATACATAAATTATATACTCATCCATTTTTGGTTGAGAGGCAAGGCCTTTTGGCACTCTATACTCTTCCATTTATGGTTGAGAGGCATGGCCTTTTGGCATTCAATACTCTTCCATTTATGGTTGAGAGGCACAATAAATATGCTCTTCCATTTATGGTTGAGAGAAAAAGGCACAATAAATATGCTCTTCCATTTATGGTTGAGGGAACAGACATAGCTTACCCAAATATGAGATATGATGATATATATAGGCATACATCAGGAGTATCACCCTTACACTGGAATGCACAAAGCTCATGGTCAGAAACTTTGATTTTGAAAAATGATGGCTTTTCTACTTGTGTTGAACTTAGCCCTGAGCTATGTAAAAGTGACTACACATTTTCTGAATATTTAGATTTAAAACTTCATAAGTTGTGGTTGCATCTAAGATCTTCTCCACTCTTGGAATTATATGTTAGAGCTTTTTTGACTCTTCTCAGATTGTTTACCATCATTTCTCAAAGAGATCTGGTTGCAGTAAAATGCCAGGAACTTGATTTGAAATTGAAAAGAAATATATTGAGATCTCATGACTTTGCTACTCTTATGAAAAGAATTGGTGGATGCTCTACTATTTTAAACTTTGCAAATTACATTGTGTATTTGATAATATTCCACCATGTCTCAGCTTTGCAGTATTTCAAGTTCTCAACAAAAATCACAAAAAATTTGTGTATCATGATATTTGCTTTATCTGTAGTATTCTTTTTGGAGCTGGAGCTTCCAGGGTTTAAACCAACACAAAGTTTCAATCCACATAATGACTTGGTAACTAAACGTGAAATACTGGGGGGTGGCCCTGCAGGTATATTCTCAGCTGAGAAGCTTTCTTCATTTGCTATAAATGAGGTGAATACAGGAGGGATGTATAAATATTCAGACTATGTACCTGAATCTGAAGTCCATACATTGAAGAGTATCAAAAGTCCCACTTTACTTTGTAAGAT